TCATACTGTGCGTATTCATTTAGTCATTCAACAAACACAGCAGGGAACACAACGAATCCCACGCCTGCCTTCGAGGGCCTTGTATTCTAATGCGAGGAGACAGACATAAGTGGACCAGTGCTCTGCACAGGTGTGGTGCGTCAGTGGTGATCAGCTGGGGGGTGCCCTTGACACACGGTGGTCTAGGTGGGTGACATCTGAACAGGGGTCTGGAGGCGCTCTCTCTGCACCACGCTCTTGCCTTCAGCCCTATGTCCAAAGCCCTTCTGATGGCTTTACACACAGATCTCCCTTGTCTTTTTCTAGAATCCTCCAGTGTAGGGTTCCTTCGTGGTCACTTAATCACTTCCCACATTGGTGGCCTACAGTGATTTCTTTCGATAACAAACAAAGCTGCAAGCAGCAACTCAACCCGCTCCCCTCCTGCACATGAGGGAGGCTTCTCTGGAACAGAGAAGCACAAATTCGGGATCAAAGGGTGGTCTCATCCAAGTTTACAGAGAACGCCATCCCTCAGGGCCTTTGTGCCACCTGGGCCTCATCTACTCCCCACCTGGAAGCCTCTTCTGCAATCTGACCCTTGTCATTCCTAGCTCCTTCCGCCGCCACTCCCACCTTCTCCAGCCCTCTCTGGCTCTCAGCACGTGTGCTGTATCATTCCTCTCTCATCATCGCTGCCTCTCTGTCCACCTTGCCATCAGGACCCTTTGTAGGGCATCTGGTCTTGGGAATAGTGACTCAGGACTGAGTCCTCAAAGGGCCTTATGAAGGAACGAGGGAAGGACTGTCACTTCTTCCCCAGCTGGGCCACCTACTGAAGCCAAGGAGGCCTACAATGAACCCCGGTAGAGACATCTATCTCACTCTTCAGGCTGCTGGAGCACGGGCTCCCCGGCTCAGCCTCTGCTGAGACCCCCAGCTCCCTCTGGCTCCCTCCCGACGCCCTGGCCCTCACTGCCTGTTGCCCGCCTCAGGTCTTAACCCTGGACCTGCGCCAGCTCTGACTCCAAAGGGCCCCTATCCCCTCTGTTCCCAGGCCTCCGCTAACAGGGGGCCCAGGAATCCTCCCACAGGGTTCCTCTCATTCACAGGGGAGATGTGTCTGTGGCAGGAAACGGGGTGGAAAAACAGCTGCTGTGTGTCCCGTCGTCAGCCCCAAAGGGACTCTGAGTGTCCCTGGATAACTTGATTACAGGGCTGCTCTGAGACCAGGCATGGACGTGGTGAGGAATTTTAACAAGGACGGGGTGGGTTTTTCTAGGTTTTGGAGAATCTGCCTGTGCTGAGTTTAGGAGGAGGGAAGCAGTGGGTTCAGCCCCAAGACACTACAATTTGTATTTGTAGCTTATAAATCCCCTCACCAGCACTTTGGAATTAATTCACCTGGGAGGGGAAGAAGACCTGCCCTGTGCAGAGTGAGACACAGAGCAACCACAGGGGGCGCTGCCCAGGTGACGTCACACGTGGTTTCCTCCCCCAGGGCCTGAACTGACCAGACTCAGTTAGGGGACACATCAGTAGTGATCCCCTGTCAAAGGTGGGAGGGATCCCCAAATGTGCTCGTGTTCTCAGAAGGGGAGTGGGATAGGGTGTTTTTAGGCCCCGGAGCATCTGTTCAGCTTTCTTCTGTGGAAGCTTTTCATCTTCATTTCACATGGGGTCTATTCTCAGCTGATGTTCCAGGGTCTGGCTGCCCGGCAGGGCTCCCGAGGTCCCTATCTCCTGCACAGGAGTGGAGCCATGTGACTACAGCCCTTTGAAACACTGCCTCCCTCTCTGGGCACACTGATTGGTTCAGGGGAAGACATGTGACTCATCCAGAGCCAATGAGATGCAATGAGACTTGCTTGGAATCCTGGGAAGGAGACTCCCTTACTCTTAGCTGGGCAGGTTAGGTGAGAGGACAGAGGGAGAGCCATGTTGCTACCGGGGCAGGGAAAGGGAGAGGGGGATGGAGAGGAAGGGAGGGGAGGGAGGCGCTGGAGAGAAGAAAACAGAGCTTAGAGGAGAAACCACCATCTAAAGATTTTGTTTTTGAGCCCCTGGATCCAGCTATGTCTGATGCCATTACTGCTGGACCGTTAAATCGGCAGATACGTTTCCTCTTCAGCTGAACCATTCTGAGTTGAGTTTCTGTTCCCAAGCGACTGAGAGAGGCCAGTCTGATTCAAGAAAGAATAAACCCTGTAGTTTAGGGCCCTCGGGGAAGGATTCATGGACGAGAAGATGGAGAAGACTTGGATAAATTCAGGGCATGAGAGCACTAGTAAAGATTTGGAGATGGTTGTAATAACTGACAAGTCTGGTCTGCTTGAACTGGCTCCTGCTGGCGGTGCTGAAACAGGGGACAGGGCTGGCGTGTGTGTGCGTGTGCGCACATGTGCATGTGTGCATACCTGTGCTTTTACATGTGTTCTGGCTTTGACACATGCGCATCACTCCCCAGGTAATGACACACTCCACATCCCAGACTGTGAGCGCCTGGGTCTGTCTCTGCTCATCCTTGAACACCCAGCACCTGACACAGTGTCTGGCACAGAGCAGGCTCTCAACAAATAGTTGTTGAGTAACACAACCAAATCCAACCAGTCTGCTCACGCGTATAATGGCTGGGAAGGTCAGAAACGCGACACACAAAACACGCAGCACGGCTGGGCCACCATAGGTGCTAAGTAGATGTGCACATGATTACTTATGCAGGGCTGTGCCCATTTTCCAGGCTGGGGAATTGAGCCTCTTAGGAGTAGGGAGCATAACCAAGAAGGAAACGTAATGCGTAGAAGTGGGGCTCTGAACTCCAGTCCGCTGCCTCCAAGAAGAGAAGCTCACTGCACAGTCCCGGGGACGGTGGTGGCAGCGGGCAAAAGAGCAGCACAGTGCGGCCCATCCAGGGGTCAGGTCTGGCCTTCAGGCAAACTTGATTCACTCAGGATGTTAGGAAAGTCTGAGTGCATTGCCAATATTTCAAAATCAGGAGTGTTCACAGGGAAAAATGCATACATTTGTAGCTTCTGCTGAAAAATCAGAAAACCTGGCCATCTTGGGCTCACCTTTCTATGTGGGACTGACAGGTCTGATTTGAGTTGGCTTTCCCCTCTTAGATACATTTCTCCACAGTCCCCACCATTCCCTACTGTCTCCCCTACTTCCCACTTGCAGTCCTGTGTGTGTGACTGCCTGTCTCTTGGTCACTTCTGCCTGGGGGCGGGGGGGGACCTTGTGTAGTGATTCAGAGGGAGATGAACTAAGGAGGGCAGCCCCGAGGAATCATCCCCTAACCCAGAGAGCCCTGTTTATGACAGTCAGCCAGGCGCAGGGCTAGTGGCAGTGACAGTGGGGAAGGGAGAGGGAAGGGAAGAATGTTGGGGAGAAAGAACGGATCAAGAAAGCTGCAGGCAGATGCACGAGTTGGCTTTGAAGATTTAGTGGGGACAGGAATATTCGCTGGTTTCCAGATTTTTTTTTTTAATGGGAAGTTCAGATGATACATCACAGTCAGTCTCTTCTCCTCCTCCTCCCTTCCCCCTCCTCATTTAAACCAAGAATCAGCAAACTATACCCCGTGGGCCAAACCAGGGCCACTGTCTATTTTTATAAATAAAGTTTTATTGGAACGAGCCATGCTTACTTGTTCACACATTACCTGTGGTGGCTTTTACACTACAGTGGGAAACTTAAGTACTTGCAACAGAGACTGTATGGCTTGTAAACTGTAAAATATTTAGTATACGGTCCTCTACAGAGAGAGTTTGCTGTCCTGATCTGAGCTACTTTGTAGTAGTATCACTGTATGGAAGGGGCTCTCGGATACTCTACGTGTATTAACTTAGGTGATCCTCAACAACCTTTCTGATAAGACTACAATGAATCGCCACTATACCCAGTGCAAGAGAACAATGAAGAAGACAGTACCAGTGTTACCGACGAATGTGGAGGAACTGGAACCCTTGTAACATTCCTGGCTGGGGCTGTCAGCTGGTTCAACCCCGGAACCCATCCTACGTCTCCGCGATTCTCCTCGCAGGTGTGTAACCAGGAGAGAAGACTACCTACGTCTGTGCAAAGCCGTGTGTTCACTGCAGCCTCGTTCGTAACAGGCCCACCCTGTCCATCAGGGGCTGCACTGACTCACACCTGCCACTCGCACAACATCGCTACGTGGCAACGAGGGGACGTGCCGCTGATGGTGTGCAGGTGCGGGGAGGACTGTCACAGGTGTCCCACCCCAAAGAGCCCATACCACGTGATTCCATGGATGTGAGGTTCTAGAACACGCAAATCCAGTCCATGGTGATGGAAGCTGGACCAGAGGTTACCTTGGGGGAGGGACTTTTGACTGGGAAGGTGTACAAGGGAGACTCTGGGGGCCGGAAATGCTTTATATCTTGACGCAGGTGCTCACCCAGGCGTGAGCACTCCCTGAGCTGTCCACATCCGATCTGTGCTCTCTGTCCCACATGAGACAAATCAGTAGGACTAGAAAAACTATTACATGGAGGACAAACAAAGACACTGAGGTACAACCACACAGCGAATGTCATATGATGAGAGCACATGTTCTGCACCCCCACGGGACAGCAGGGATGGGTCTCAACGTGGGGGGAAGCCAAAGGAGCCAGACACAGGAGTAACAGTGTCCTGCTGCCAGTCGGAGCCGAGGCTGTCCCCGTGGGAGGAGTTATGGGAGGGGACTTCTGGAGCTGGCGGTGACAGTCTGCTTCTTGTCCTCCCCGTGTGCTGGTGACATGTGCCTATCCGGCTGTGAACATTCACTGGGCTGGACTGTCTGTAGGCACACTTTCCATAGGAACACCCTGCTTGGCCATCCTGTGACCATTTCTCTCCGACACAGACTATTATTTGAGAGATGCACACATGGAGAAGCAGCAGCTGCTCGAGGTCCCTCACGGAAGTAAAGGTCACCAGCCCCCGAAGCCAGGCAGTTAAGCTCCCGTGTCACGCTCCTAACTGTCCCCCAGCCAGGGACAGGCAGGACTTACCTTGGAGTAGTCAAAGCCGTGCTTCTCCTTCACCCCGTTCCGGCAGAGCGTGTAGTTATAAAAACGGGAGTTTTTAAGAAGGCCGACCCACTCCTTCCAGCCCGGCGGCACGTAGGAACCGTTGTACTCATTAAGATACTTTCCAAAGAAAGCTGGAGGAGGAGAAGGATCAGGAGGCCACGTGAGAAAGCAGGGAGCAAACGTCTCCTCCGTCCCCAACCACTGGGTCCCCAGGGTACGAAAACAGTGCTACCCTCTGAGCCTCCTTCTCAAACGCTTTTAGAGGAGTAAGATCAAATATATAGGATGATAGAGAAGATAAGTTATTCTGAAATACGGTTATCTGTTAAGAGAATCTGCCATACAGTAACGCCCTTTCAAAAAAGATGTTAGCTTGCAAAGAGTAGTAATTTCAAAGTAGCGATAACTGAAAAAAGAGTTTATTTCATGGGGGCGCCTGGGTGGCTCAGTGGGTTAAGCCGCTGCCTTCGGCTCAGGTCATGATCTCAGAGTCCTGGGATCGAGCCCCACATCGGGCTCTCTGCTCAGCAGGGAGCCTGCCTCCTCCTCTCTCTCTGCCTGCCTCTCTGCCTGCTTGTGATCTCTCTCTGTCAAATAAATAAATAAAATCTTTAAAAAAAAAAAAAAAGAGTTTATTTCATGATCTCTGCCACCCCTGCTGTGGAATATTATCATATCATTGATTGCTCCGGACGACAAAATTGCAGACTCCCGTGCTACGGTTCATGTCCTACCTTCCTAATGGAAGCCAACGCTAAGCGACGGTGTAGGTTCGTAAAAATAAGGACGCGATTCTTTCCCACTCAAGCTGACGGGCTCCGTGAAGTCCGTCTACGGCACGGTGAGCAGAATGGCTAGTATAGACCATGAACGATACCAGCTGTTGCTGGGGGTTGGAGCAACTGGCCCCCGATATACCTGCCAGGGGACGTGCAGACTGGCCCATCTCCAGGCAGGCCCTGACCGGCAGACTCCGCTAACCTTGAACTCGCTCCTACCTTCTGACCCAGTGATTCGAATCCTGGGCATTGACTCAGCAGGAAGGCATTCCTTCATTCCCGAAGTCATGTGCAGCACTGTTCATGAGAGCCCGTAACCAGAAACAAGGCAGACGCCCATCAGCAAAAGCTGCTGTAGACGGACTTCACGGAGCCCGTCAGCTTGAGTGGGAAAGAATCGCGTCCTTATTTTTACGAACCTACATGCTTGAAGACCCTGCCGGCTAGGTGCAGAGGGGAATGAGTACCGCTCCAGAAGGAGACTGGACCAACCGGTGCCACACCCAGTAACTGCGGCTAATCGCGTGAAGAGAAATAAACCAGAGATAAAAGAATGCTGTACGATCTCATTCATAGGATGTTCCTAGAGAGCCAAAACCAGATCTATGGTGTTGAAGAACAAAGTAGGGGTTCTCGCTGGGCGTGGGGGTGCTGCTTGGGGGACAGGCTCATTCTGTCTCCTGCCGAAACCCCACTGGGCTGGACATCCGCGCGTCTCCACATTCGCCTTTCACACCAGCGATGTGGCTTACGTAAGGAAAATCACCCGGGTTCCCCTCGAAGGGGATGTACCCCCAAACTCTGCAGGCGAGGAGGTAACACACCAGATCTTCTTTATGGTACTTTCTTGTTCTTTTTGCTTCTCAACGAGCAAGGATGATTTTTAATAATTATAACCTATAAGGCCATTTTGAAGAAATGGAAAAATCTGTGAGAGTTTTTCCAGAGACAGAGGCCCTGCGCCAGCGCTCTCCTTTGGATGAGGATGCCGGGGCTCGGAGACGCGCAGGAGACGGTGCTGAGAGCTCGAGAATGGGAGAGTTCCAGACCGCTGAAGGAGCCAAAGAGATGGTGCCAGCAGAGCGCTTAGCGCTGCGCCTGGCAAACTGGGGGTGTTCAGTGGGCGTCAGTTCAGAGCCCAAGATGAGAAGAGACAGACAGGGGAGGTGAACATCCGTAGAGGGAGGAGTGGACTGCGGCTGGCCTCTGATGCCCGCAGAGGAGGAGACGGTTCCCTCCACCTGGAACCTTCGAGAAAGCACAGAGAGCTGCCCTGGGTCTGGGCGGGGAGGGTGGGGACGGAGAGGGAGCCCTCCACGGGGGTTTTCCTGGAGGCCCGGCAGGTAACCGGCACCGCCTGGGAGTGGGAAGCCCATTTAGGACCCAAGCAGCGATGCCCAAATCGCCACAGCACAGGGCAGAGGGCAGCACAGGCATCCAATTCTCCCCTGGCACGCAGGGCCAGGAGGGAAGTTGGAAGCGGAGGAAACACCTCCTGGGAGGATCTGGGCGCCAGAGGAGGTGAAAATAGGAAGGGAGAGTCCCGAGCAGCTTCGGGTTAAGGCCCAGGGTGGGGCATCCCTTTGCGTGGGAGAGCAAAGCCAGGCCAGAGAGGACCCTGGCATTCTGAGGGTGAGGGACAGGGAAACTGGCTGCCCGACTCTGAGTCTCGGGGAACGTCCACTATTCAAGCGGCGGGTGCCTGGCTGGGTGTCAGGGCGTGAGGACTGAGATGTGAGCTGGAGTAAGGGGCAGCAGCATGCCCGCACAGGGCCAGCGGAAGGCCTGACTCCCCTCTCGGGACCACTGCAGATTCAAACTGCTGCACCCGTCCCCTGAAAGTAGTGGGGCTCAGCCAGGGGCGGCTTCCCCCTCGGGGGACACAGGGCAAGGTCTGCAGACATTTCTGGTTTTGATAGGTTGGGGTGGGACATGCCGCAGGCGTCCAGGGGGTGGGGGGCCAGAGATGTCGCTCAACACGCCACAGTGGTCAGGATGGCCCACGGGAGCATCACCAACCCGTGTAGAAGGTCAACAGTCTCCCGGTGAGAAACCCTGCCACCTGCACGCCCCTCTCTTCCGCAGAAGAACCATGTAGGGAGGGCTAGAAAAGCCCCTAGAGATCAAGTCCAGTCCAGGAAATAAGACCTACTAAACCTCAATGACCTTACTCCTCGCATTTGATGTGTCTTTCTGTATGTAAGGAGCTCTACTCTGGTAACACTTCTGGTCTCCCTCCTCTCTCCTGTTCCTCCTCCTTGGGGAAGAATGACAAACAGCAGGGGTCAGCAAACATTTCCTGTGAAGGCCCAGATAGTAAATGTTGGAGGCTTTGTGGGCCAGATGGTTTCTAGTGCAACTATTCAATAGTTGTAGAAAACAGTCACAGACAATACATAAACAAGTGGGCGTGGCTCTGTGCCAATAAAACTTTATTTACAAAAACAGATGGAGGGCCTGATGAGTAAAACGACTGGTGGTGGTGGTGGGGATATTAAGGAAATAATAAATCATGTGCCTATCCATGGTAAAAATCAGGATGGCAGCACAATGAAACTGCTCTATTTGGGGGTAATACTGCCTGGCCATATATGGATTCATATATCAACAACTATTAAACCCCAATGGTATGCCAGGAGCTGTCCCAGGCAATGGCAACAGTGAATGAGGCCACCAGGGTCCCTGCCCTCCTGGGGTGGAGATTCAAGTGGGGGACTGTGACAAAAAAGGGTGGTGCTGTTGGTAAAAACAGCGATGAAAGAAAAAAAGGATGGTGTTGCAAGCAAGGGGCCAGAGCTGGACCCCTGGAGGCACCGCTGGGTTGAGTGGTCAGGGAAGGCCGCTGAGGAGTGATGAGAATGAGTCAGGGGAACAGGAGTACAAGGGAAATTGCTCCAGACAGAGGTGATATCAAGTGCAAAGGTCCTGAGGCAGGAACAAGCTTGGGGGCATTTGAGGATCACAGGGAGGCCAGTGAGAGAGAGAGAAGATGATGTTATAGGGTAGAGGGATGAGATCATGAGAAGAAACAACAGGGGGCATGGACGTAAAAGAGTCCACAAGTCCCCTGAAATATTATGCATCAGAATTTGCATTTTCCTGGAACTGGGACACATTCTGAAAGGAACCCAAGACCACAAGTAATTTCAGAAAGATGAATGAAAGAAAGCCCAGGAGAAAAGGCGCTCTGAATGCCCTGCTCGGAAAACTGGGTTCTCTCCCAGGTCTCCCAAATCTGGCTGGTGAGTCTACAGTTTGTCCCCAAAGATCTGGACCAAAGTCTTCCCGAAGCAGGTGCAACTCAGAATGCTACAGAGTTTCAGTCTTGGCTGCAGCTAGTGGGATAACTCTTTTTTTGGGGGGGGTGACAAGTGGGGCATCTTGGGAAGCCCACCCCTGCCCATTATCACCCAATGCCACAGGCATCAAAGTGTCTGTGGCGATTTCCTCTGCTGCAGCCCCCCCTTTCACATCTCTCTCCTCTCTCCAACCCCCAACCCTTAAAAAAAATCCCGAAAGAGTTGATTATTCAGGCTCCACAAGACCCCAGAACACAGGGCTTCAGTCAAAGGCTTTTAGTGCCAAATTAGATTTTGCTCTCATTTGATTAGATTTCCCCAAGCAGTTTTTAAAATGGTTATTTCAGCACCAGCTGAGGTGGGAGGCAGCAAATTAGCGTGGCCCCTGGGGGGGAGGGGCGGCTCTGGGGCTGGGAGATTAAGCCAGGAGAATGAGCTGGAATTAAAATCAAGATTAAAAATACAGCCATGTCATGGCTGGAGCCTGGAGTCACCGAGCTTCCGTGGCTGGGACGCCACAAAAGTGAGAGCAGCAACCCGAGGGCTGGTGCGGCGGAGGAACAACTTGGCAGGCAGATTAAGAGGAATTAAATTCCAGGCCAGGAAAGGGCACTGATAATGTGCTGGCTGGCGCTGCCCCTAGGGAGCAGGCTGGCATCAACTGAAAGGACGGAGTATTCACTGCAGCCCGTGCACCAGGCACGGGGTGGAGATTTCCACCTGACAGTGGAGACTTCTTTCTGTTTAGCCTGCTTGGTCCTGACTGTGGTCCTGTGGGTGCCACCACTTCCTGACTTAAGTACACATGCGCTGACCTTCAGACCTGGGGATGCAGGCATAATCTCAGCTGGGCCAATCAGAGCACTACATTCCCCTGGCTCTGTCATTGGTTTAGGGCCAGGCATGTGACCCAAGTTAGGCCAATGAGAGTGAGCCCTGGGATTTTTAGGGAGGTACTGGAAAAGAGAAGTTCTTCCAAAGGGCTCAAAGCTGAAGGGATAGAAACCAGAAGCTGCTGGCAGCCATCTTATCACCAAGAGGGGAGAGTCTATA